TGATAGTATTAAGCTAGTATTAAGCTAGTATTACGGTAGTATTGTGATAGTATTAAGGTAGTATTGTGATAGTATTAAGATGCTGGAAATACGACGTGGGTGGATCCTGACATACACTTTTCACAAATGGGAGTCGAGCGATTGAAGCGACTGAAATGTGAGCCAAAAATAAGAGGGAGTAGAAAACACATTAGTGGGTTGCCTAGGCAACCGAAGCCTGGGCTATCCTCTGGTGACCAACCGTCGCTTAAAGCAATGCACAACGAGTGAATCTCTTCATATGTGCACGTGGTTTAGAGGTGGGACACAAACGACCTGAGCAGTTCCACAGCATGTGCATGTTACATCGTAACCACGTGTTTCCAGCACTGTCTTTTCTTCCTCTTCCCCACTGAAAAATTCATGATGGAGAGTCACTGTTTTAAAAGAGTGGAGGAAATATAGTACAGCTGCAGGTGGTGCCTGGAGGGGTGTTGCTCCACATGTGACACTGCATGTTGTATGCATGTCTTTATCCTGTCTTCCTTCTCTCACCCCAACCAATCACAGCAGATGGCCCCGCCCCTCCCTGAGCCTGGTTCTGCCGGAGGTTTCTTCCTGTTAAAAGGGAGTTTTTCCTTCCCACTGTTGCCAAAGTGCTTGCTCATAGGAGGTCATATGGTTGTTGGGTTTTTCTCTGTATGTATTATTGTAGGATCTTCCTTACAATATAAAGCACCTTGAGGCGACTGTTGTTGTGATGTATAAATAAATTGAATGCATGAAAATGTCCTCATATAAATTTTGAACTTTTGGGGAAGTTGTCAGTGTTTATTACAAATCATAACAAAAACAATAGTAAAGTAAAAAAAAGTTCAGCTGTTTGATGTGACAGCTGTTGGTCACGTGATCCTTATGAAGGGCTGTTATGGGTGCAGCCCTGCTGGGTTCAGCACTGTTTGAGGAAAACAGTAAAGTCCTGAGTGTGAACTTTAGTCCTCACATCATGAACAGGTTTTAATAGATCTGCAGAACCATCGAATGGAGCACATTACAAACCTGAGCCGTGGTTATTTCCCAACTACAACAATGACCTCACTGTGAAAACACACCACAATGTCTAATCGCTTTCAATTCAGTTAATTTAGACACACAATGTAAACCTAGTGACACAAACTACAACTCATTTGAACTTTGACCTCGGTGCATGATGGAGCTCCGGGGCTGCCTTGAGCTGGACCCTGCACAGAGTTGAATCAGTGTCAGAGTGCAGCGGCATTGTTGCTGTGACACAACCCTAACGACACACAACATTGTGCTTTCTTACTAAACACTGAGGCCCAGAAAGCAGTTTGAAGACTTCACTACGCAAAGTTAAAAAAGGGAGGAGCTTCTGGAAAACTGTCAACCTGTCTTCAGATACGTGTGGAGCTACTCAGGAACAGCCTTCCTCTGTTTGTCAGGTCGCCTGAATCTGTGCTTTGTTTTAAACAACGGCTCAAAGCTCATTTTTATACTTCACAGCCGTGAGCCACAGTTTACAGCTAATGTGTGTATGTAGGAAGACGTACGACTAAATATGTGACTGTATGCTGGAACATATACTTTGGATCTGTGTGTTAATACGAAGTTAGACGTTAAGCTTACGTCAGCAGACTGAGGTAAGAACGGGCCATGGTCAAAGGAGTATTTAGTGAAAAGCACTGTACCCGACAGCGCTCACAGTGTCAGCTTTATCCTCTTACCGACTTTCTGTCTGGAAACAGGAGTGGAGGCCAACTAAGAAGGGATTGGTCGAGGCCTGCTCAAAAACATGCTTCTCTGTCTGCACCCAGTCAATATCCTGCAGAGATGAGACAGACACAGCATGAAAGACAGATAATGTGGGAACAATCGGTTTGTCAGTAGGTTTTCTCAGACAGATCGATGGAGATACATCAGGTCACTGGTGTCACTGGTTTGAACAGCCCTCACACACAGAATGGGAGATTAATGGAGTGCAAGCCATGAACTCAGGAAACAGAAGAGCTCTCTATTGTCCTTTAACACGATGGCAGGTTTAAGGCACTTGAACCACAGTGGCTTACATTCACTTCCCAAAGTCCATCTTTTATCTACAGTTTGTGATTTTGGACTAAAATACTGCCAATAGTAAGTGACGTTATTACAGGTATGCAATCTACAGTGTTTGCTGCAAAATTTTACATTATTTTGTGACATCAGCATCTCATCGTATCCAAGCTTTTATACTGAATCGCCTTTCTAAATCAGGTGTCACAAAATAACAGCTGAAAGTACTCCAACTCCCAGAAGTCCTTCAGAGTACCCAGGATGTCATGGATGATGCTCAGTGCTTCGCCTGCAGCGAGGACTCTGAATCTGGAGTTAAAGCATCATTAAACTGTGATCAGGTGTGTGTACACTGTGCCGTGATACAAAATTCCTTTTGGTCAAGTCATTACTGCATCCAGCCATTATTATTATTGTTATTATGCAAAATAAGTCATTGTAACACGTCTGACATTTCAGACTATTTGCCTCTCAGTGGAATCACCTTCCTGCTGTCCGTGGATTGTTGTTTGTACAGAAAGTGAAACTTTGTCATGGAATAAAACGTGTCCATGTGGGACAACGTGAGCTGGTCAGATCATGGACGATGCTGTATTATAGGACGCTGGTCCTCGGCCTATATGTTGAGCAATATTGCCATCTAGTGGACTTTCATCACACAACCACAGCACAGTCAGTAAGCTTTCTTTATTCAGGCCTATCTCACCTCCTTACCAATCTCTCTCTCTGTCTTTCTTTTAACATATGTTCCAGCTACGATGTTCTAGGACTACCTGATGACTTTTGAGGCAGAGAAGTCACAGAGTCTAAAGAACGTGATCAGAGTCTGTTAACATAAGCTAAGCTTTGAGTTATCAGACCAGCAAGCCAGACGAGTCGAGAGCAAGAAGTGAAATCAGAGTAACACAGAAAACAGAGCTGACTCAAAGTATTTCAAAGTCACTGAGTCTTATTGTATCCACAATCCACCCACAGAAGTCACGTGTTGTTTCTAAGGTTATGATCAGTCCTGGAGGACAGGGAGCTGTCAGTACTGCTAACGTACCATGCAGACAGACTCTGTGTCACAGACACTTTCAAAGAAAGCTGTAGGTGTGGGCATCACTCGTGGAAAATGAAAAGACACTTTGGCTCTTGTAATGCTTCTGTTTCTATGAATATAACATGTTTTTGCCTATGGAACATTATTTATGCAGACTTCATGTTCATCTGGTTATTCATCCCTGCAAAGAGGATGTTATACCCGGATTTCATCTGCTGCTTTCAGTCACCCACTCACTTCTTCCTCCTGAGCAGCTCTGTGCCACCTCCACTCCATATTTCCCCTTCTTTGTTCCATTCCCTTCCTTTAGCCAATCCTGATTCTCATATTTTCATACATCCCCACTGTTTCATCGTCACCCTTCACTTCCAACTTTTACCCTCCTCTCTCCTCTGAATATTGACCTGTTACATAGTCTAGTGCTCCTAAATCTCTCCAGAGCCCTGCTGTCTCCATGCAAGGTCAAAATAATGAAACAGACAGCGTGCAAAACCAGCTGCCCTCTGAGTATTAGAGAAAATATAAACAGAAGTATTGAAAATTCCCCACATTCTCGATGAAATGTGTCCTGCTATCCACCACTGGTCCAGTTCAACCCTACATGTAAGACAGAAAAAAGCAGTCCGTGGCTGGGATGTGCCAACATCACAGATCCTGACATCATCTGTGTATGTGGACTTCAGTGGAAATCACTGGGTGCTGAAGCTGCTGTTTACACACTTTTATACAAGAATTTACTAATGATTACCAAATCTGTTCCAAAGCATTTCAAAAGGAAAACAGCAACAGCTGTCTCCACGTAGGCTGACTTGTAGAGTTATATCCCCTCCTGAAGGCAAACATTACACACTCAGTCTTTGTGCTTAGAAATCTTTGAAACCTTCAGTGTTTGGAGTTTGTAGTTTCCTTCTCTTGTTTTTCTTTTACGCTTGCAGCTGTGGTGGTTAATGTTTTCAGTCAGTTGTTCTGGACTGTTACAACACAATGAAGATGGATGAAGTCTCCAGGTCTGAAAACTCACAGCAGTATAAATTCTGCATTCTCTCTAATGTCCAGCAGGGGGTACATTACCTGTTGTAAAACTAATAGTACAGAAGTCAGTGAGAAACACTAATTCTGATGTTTTCAATCACTAACTCAGTCTTCTGTATAACACACGGTGGTAAATTCAGGCCTCTCAGTGGGATGCTGCACAAGAAGCCTGTTGTTGTAAAGCATATATTTTATACAATATTTGATCCTCTACATAAACCTAGGATTCAGGCTCTCACAGACCAGCTGTGCGCCACATATAATACTCCTACTGTTTACAAAGCACACCTGTCCACAGAAACCCATTGGAAGACCAACAAATGTCAACCAATGTCAGCCTCCATAAGGCTGGAATGCAGCTGGATAGGGTAGTGGTAAGACTACACACCTTTGGAGCAGGAGTCGCAAGTTTGATTCTCACCCAGTATCCAGTAAGGGTCCTGGCTAGACCCCCGATGCTAAAAAACCAGGCCTAAACTTGTTAATGATCTAAAGGCAGCTGGCACCACAGTCACCAAGAACACCACTGGTAACACAACACACTGCCATGAACTGAAGTCCTGCAGCAAAGTCACCCTTCAGAAGAAGGCACGTGTCATCTGACATTTGTCAGTAAAGATCTCAATGATTCAGAGAAAGCTCAGGAGAGAGTGCTGCGGACAGATGAAACAAAGAAATGAGGTTTTTGGCATCAACCCGCCCTGCAGTGTTTTGGAGGGAAGAGAAGTGCTGAGTATGAACCAAAGAACACCAACCACACCCTCAAGCACACAGATGGAAACATTATGCTTTGGATGGAGCCGTGACCTCCTCTCCTCAGCCAGAACACTCAGGACGGGTCATGGATGGGTCTTCTACCAACAAAGAAGTGTCTAAAGGAAACGCGCACTAAGGTCATGTATTGGCTTAGCCCGATTCCAGACATTAATTCTTAATTAAAAACCTGTGGAGGGAGGTGAAGCTTCACGCTGCCAAGCGGCAGGATTTCGCGAGTTTCTATAGAGAGGAGTGTGCTAAAATCCCTCCTGACATGTGTGCAAACCTGGTGACCAGCTACAAGAAACCTATTACTGCTAATGAGTACTCATGTGGTTCTAGGGGTTTAAGTACTACAGTCAGAGTTTCTCCGGGTGTTCTCACCTCGTCATCATGGACCAGCTCCTTTTTCACCACCTTCATGGCGTACATCTGCTCGTTCTTCTTTAGCCGCACCAGCAGAACTTTGGCATAGCTGCCTCGTCCTATTACTCGAATCAGGTCAAAGTCAGCCAGCCCAAGAGCCAGTCCCTGGGATATCTTAATGCCATCGATGCCATCAACTACTGCTTTGATGTCCTACAGGGGCAGAGGTCAGAATAGCATCATCAGCATAGTTTATGTAGAAGAATGATCGCACAGTCATTTTCAAAGGGATGGGCAGCTTTTACATTATCAGCGTATTATCCTTAATGAGTCGGTCTTACCTCTGTCTCGTCTTCTGCTTTATTCACTGCGCAGTTGTGTGGTAAAAACGGTACTGCAAAACACAGATCCACACCAAACTATGACCATCTGGAGACTGTCGCAAATGCTTTCTTTCCCTCAACCAGCAGAGGGAGGCAGAGCACACAAAATAAAGACCCCTGTTCTTACCAAACTAGGCTAATCCACAAGGGGCCCCGGAGCATCTCATGGGCACAAGTTTACACATAAGCATCTCAGAGTTACATAAGTGATGACAGCGAATGAGAAGTGAAGAGACCAGGCCCACTGGTCCAAGCAGCCACTCTGGTACTCATTTCTTTGAGGACTCGTAAAATGACAGCGAGGGCCACTGAGGGCTCCTCAGTTATAAATTGTACAAGTAGCCGTCGTTTAAGGCAACACTAAAGAAACTGGTGTAGTGGTGCACATCTCTGTAGAGAACAGCACTCTACTTTATTTTTTATTCACTCTCAAATTTAAGTTTGTGTACTTTCAAAGAGATTTTGTCACCCTGTTTATCCACAGATATCACAGTTTACTCTGAGACAAACTCAAATGCATTCTTATGCTAAATATTTGTAGTCATTTCAAACAAAATTACACTATTATATTTTATTGTGACATATTTCTTAGGGCCCACCCAACGGTCAGTTCACCGCCTACGAAGGACCACAGAAGACATCAGAAAGTGTGAAAAGTGTTAAATGTCCTATGTGTTAGAGTCCAAACAGTCCAGGACATGAATGCAGTCAGACTGGGACATGTAGTCCACAGTTTCTAGACTTGCATGGACTGGGTTTGGATGCTGTGTCCAGGATCCTGTCACGCTCTCTGCTGACTTATGTCTCATAAAAATGTAGCAGAGTTCAGAATTTCCCTTTTTCATCTGGATGTCAAAGAAACCTGCACTCATACAACGATTAGCTTCTCGTTATAGCTTTCTTAGGTAACTCAGTGGCATATAAAAGAAATGCATCTTACTCCCATCTGTGTCCTCTGTGTCATCCAGTGGAAGGTCCACCTCGGCACTCTGGGCATCTGAAGGGGGCTTCTGTGATGGCATGACTGGATCCTGAAGAAACGATTTCAGATATTCACCTACATTTCTTTGCAACATGCCCTATCAGATATCCCGTCATGGCTGTGCAGTCCTGGACGAGTGGATGATGGCTCATGTTTACGCTCAGGATGAGGTCTGTATTTCAGCTCATGGGCAGAAATTTGCTGCTCTAATGAAGTGTGGGGGTTTCTCCAGGAAAGGGATTTAATCTTATCCAGGAAAAAAGGCAGTGAAGATAGCAGCACAGTCACGGAGCACATACTCCATTGACTGCATTGATTTTCTGCTCAGGATTTGGGTGACTGGGGTCAAAATTTTGGATCTTCCTGTTTGGCCAGACGCTCGCCTAGCGCTCTAATGGATTGACTACGTGGAGCACACTGGTCTGTGGTCACGCTGTCCTTGTTTTGTATCAGTTAGGATATCGCTATATTGCTGGTCTTTGAAGAAAGACTTGTTTGAAAGACTAGCTTGTTGTTTCCCAGCTGTTTCAAAACCATTTTAATTCCTTTTTATAAACTGCTTCACTGATAAGATAAGAAGGAAGACATCACTACTTGATCTTTGAATCTCATGTAAAGCAGCACACACACCAAACACAAGTACATTTTCAAGACATTTGTGACAAACTGTTCTGCTGTGTTTTGTTGTTGCTCCTGTGCAGATCCTGTGTGGTTCCACTTGATGCTGAGGCCCGAAAGGTGTTACTGTGAAGCAAGATTAGCACGGTATGCTGAGCCCAAAGCAAGAGGTTTCAGTTTCACTCACTTTATTTACACTGAGAGCTGACTGACTCAGAATGACACCGAGTAATGAATTAACCCTGAGAGAGTCAAACTTCAGTTTAACATATAGAGTTTGAGAGCTCTAAAATGTTAACCTGATACTTAAAACAACTACTTGTTACACTGTTTCCAGCGTTGGTCTGACACTGTGTTCACTCTGATGGGAAAGGAGATTGAATGTTCCCAAATAGTGCAATCTGATTGGTTGGGAGGGACTTTGATGCAGTAGCTGTTCAACAATCCCTGCCATGGCCTCCACCTTAATGTTTGACAACAGCTTGAGAACATAATTAGTCCCATCAGTAACACTGACTAGCTAACTTTTGCTCTACATCATTAGCCTACTGCTAACAAATTAAAGAGAGATTAAACAACAGGGCCAGTGTAGCAGCTGCTCTCTATCCACCTATGACCAAAGAAGGGTCAATCACTGAGTGCACCTAAGGTTAAACATTATTCTTTGCATGTCCACAGTTTACGCACACCCCTCACTGATATGAGTGTCATGGTAATTTGGGGCTTTTGATGGTTTCTTTGAACGGTTCTTTGTCCAGGGAGGGAAAGGCTTCCACAATGATCCATGCAGACAACAAGAGCCTCTGTGCAATTTAATGGGCATAATCACATACTCACCATAAGCCTTTGGCAGGTCTGAGGGATGAGTCTGTGACAGCGCTTATGGACCAGCAGTTTGCAGGTGATACACTTGTAGCCCTGACTGCCCAGCCCCCATATCCTGTCACTACAGTGGGCACAGTAGGCTTTCTGTAAGACAAAAACATGCACCCTTTTTTAGCAGAACATATATGTCAAAGTCAAACTTTGACATTACAGGACGGACAATGAGACTCTTCATCGTTTAAATGAGGAGTCTGATTTTCATAGTTAGCCTTTATGGCTGAATAGCACAAAACACAGCTGCAAACATCCACATTTGTAATCAGTATTTATTTTAATACAATTATTATCATGACAGAATAAATACACATCGTGCATTTATAACAGAGAAAGTCAAAAGACATTTTCAACAATAGAACTCTGTCTTCATAAACAACAAGACGGCGACTGTGCTGTCTGCTTGTTCACACTACAAATAAAATGTGACAGCAAACGCGCTCTAGTGTGAACCCTCAAAGCGGCCCGCATGCGCAAAAGAAGACGTCACACACAGCGCTCTGTTTACACCCAGACCAACAGTATTGTTTGACTGATGGCCCTTAATATAAAGACTTGTTTCGGACTTTCCGTTTCCCAATTTTGCTTTAAGTTATAAAGTTATTTTGTTATTTACATATGGCCTAATAATGATCATTATTGCTGTTTTAGAGAGGAGCGGTGCTTCAAAGGATCGTTGCAGATTTCTGTCAGAATCTGCAGATTATACAGTACAAATAAAATGTTCACGTTTCTCCAACGTTGTCTTCCCAACAGTTCATGGGAAGGAAGCGTTCACGATGTCTTATCGGGCGCTTCTCCGGCGCTGATAATTGGCATCTGT